GCTAAGACTGCGCTCCCGAGGCAGAGGGCCTGTGTTCCCGATCAGGGAACTAAGATCCCACATGCCACCAACCAAAGATCCTGTATGCCACAACTAAGACCCCGTGCAGCTAAACAGATATTTTTTTTAAAAAGACATGGTGCTAAGTTGCTTCAGTCATGACTAACTCTTTGCAACCCCATGCACTGTAGCCCACTAGGCTCTGCTGTCCATGGGATTTTTTAGGCAAGACTACTGGAGTGGGTTGCCATTTCCTCCTCCAGGAGGTCTTCCCCACCCAGGGATCGAACCTGCATCTCCTGCATTAATAGGCGGGTTCTTTACCACTCGTGCCACCTGAGAAGCCCCTTAAAAGACAAGGTATATATACCCAAAATACACAACACACAATAAAATATTATTCAGTCATGAGAAAGAAGGAATTCCTGTCATTTTCAACAATGTGGATGGACTCTGACCATATTATGCTAAGTGAGATAAGTCAGAGAAAGACAAGTGCTGGATGGCAACACCTACATGTGAAATCCAAGTCAAGCTTGTTTTCAAAAAAACAGTAAAATGGTGGTTACCAGCAGGTAGGGGGCACGAGGGATAAGACTGATGGTGTTTAAAAGTACAAACAAAAAAATACAGAAGTATTTAGCACTTGTCAAGTGATAAACTTGTTAAGTGATAAATAAATCACAGGGTTTAATGCACGGTATAATGAAATACAGGTAATAATACTGTACTATATATAATAAATATTGCTACAATGGCCATATTACAACATATAAATGTATCAAAGTAACACACACTGTACACCTTAAACTTACACAATGTTATATGTCAAATTTACTCAATTAAAAAAAAAGATACGTCATTAAGTGGAAAAAAAAAATGCCAAGGTATGGAATAATGTTAGAAAGTAGTATGCTGACAAAGATCCGTAGAGTCAAAGCTATGGTTTTTCCAGTAGTCGTGTACGGATGTGGACCACAAAGAAGGCTGAGTGCCAAAGAATTGATGCTTTTGAACTGTGGTGCTGGAAAAGATTCTTGAGAGTCCTTTGGACAACAAGGAGATCAAACCAGTCAATCCTAAAGGAAATCAGTCCTGAATATTCATTGGAAGGACTGATGCTGAAGCTCCAATACCTTGGTCACTGGATGCAAAGAGCCAACTCACTGGAAAAGACCCTAATGCTGGGAAAGATTGAAAGCAGGAGGAGAAGGGGGCAACAGAGGATGAGATGGCTGGACGGCATCATCGACTCAATGGACATGAGTTTGAGCAAACTCCAGACAATAGTGAAGAAGAGGGAAGCCTGGTGTGCTGCAGTCTGTGGGGTTGCAAAGAGTCGGACGTGACTGAGTGACTGAACGACAACAACAATCTTTTGTTTAAAGGGGGGAGGAGAGGGTAAGAGCGGATATTAACACTTTGTATTTACAATAAAGAAATACTGCAAGGCTACACAAACTGAAAAATATGGTTGCTTTAGAATGGAGTGAACAAAAATGGGTAGAAGACTTTGCAATGTACAACTTTATGTTAGCCTGACGTCAATGTATTAGTCAAATATATTAAATTACAAAATAAAACCCACTCATTTATGGATTAAAAAATTAAAATCACAAATATACATACATACATAACTACTATCTAGAAAAATAAAACTTAAGCAAAGTTCACTGAAGAATAAGTGACAAATTGAAAAAGTATTTAAGAACAAGGACAAGCTTATTTCCTTAGCCCTTATTTTCAACCACAGAAGATAACAATCCAAAGAAAATGAGGAAACTATTCACAGAGAAAGAAATACAAGCACCTAATAACACAAAAGGCTGCATATTGTCACCCTGCTTATTTAATTTATATGCAGAGTACATCATGTGAAAGGCCAGGCTGGATGAAGCACAAGCTGGAATCAAGATTGCCAGGAGAAATATCAATAACCTCAGATATGCAGATGACACCACCCTTATGGCAGAAAGCGAAGAACTAAAGAGCCTCTTGATGAAAGTGAAAGAGAAGAGTGAAAAAGTTGGCTTAAAACTCAACATTCAGTATCTTAAAACTAAGATCATGGCATCCGGTCCCATTACTTCATGGAAAATAAATGGGGAAACAGTGAGAGACTTTATTTTTTTGGTCTCCAAAATCACTGCAGATGGTGACTGCATCCATGAAATTCAAAGACGCTCCTTGGAAGGAAACCTATGATCAACCTAGACAGCATATTAAAAAGCAGAGACATTACTTTGCCAACAAAGGTCAGTCTAGTCAAAGCTATGGTTTTTCTAGTATATGAGAGTTGGACTATAAAGAAAGCTGAGCGACAAAGAATTGATGCTTTTGAACTGTGGTGTTGGAGAAAACTCTTGAGAGTCCCGTGGACTGAAAGAAGATCCAACCAGTCTACCCTAAAGGGAATCAGTCCTGAATATTCATTGGAAGGACTGATGCTGAAGCTGAAACTCCAATACTCTGGCCACCTGATGCAAAGAACTGACCCACTAGAAAGGACCCAGATGCTGGGAAAGATTGAAGGTGGAAGGAGAAGGGGAAGACACAGGATGAGATGGTTGGATGGCATCACTGACTTGATGGACATGAGTTTGAGTAAGCTCCAGGAGTTCGTGATGGACAAGGAAGCCTAGCGTACTGCAGTCCATGGGGTCACAAAGAGTCGGACACAACTGAGCGACTGAGCTGAACTGAATAACACAATGAAAAAATATACAATTATATAAACGAAGACAAACGAAAACAATGGTGAAACACCACGGCCACCTAGCAGACAAGCATAAGGAAGCAGTCATTACACTTTTTTTTTTTTTTTTAGTCATTACACTTTTGTATACATACTGTCATATACTTTTGGTGAGACTATAACCTAGTGAAACCTTTTTGGAGGGCAATCTGGCAATACTTATCAATATGCAAAGCATCCGCAGCCTCCAATCCAGTGATTACCAGTAAGTTACCCTGTGGATATACTTGTATTAGTCCATCTTGGTATCTGCTCAAGGATACTGCTTTGCAGTACTGTTTTTAATAACAGCAACAACAAAATCCAGATGTGCATCACCAAAGGCCCTAATAAATAAACAATCGTACAGCCACATAGTGCAACACTACACAGGCTAAAAGAGAACAGGGTTTACCTATAAGTGCTAATACAGAAAGACCCCAAGACATGTTACTAGGTGAAAAAGCAATCAATGTGTGTGCAAACTGTGAGAGGAACTAGAGGTAGGGCAACAGGGAGGAACACTTCAACTTCTTTTTTGGATATCTCTTCTTCTACATTTTATACTTTTGTGCTCTGTTTGCATTTTAACTACTAAATTTTTTTAAACCAAGTATTTAAAAATACATGATGGCAATTACTTGCCAAGTACTTACTGAAAAGAGAAGTTCCTCTGGCATATCTATAAGGTTTCCTAATATTTCTGTGCCACAACAGGGAGAAGGGTGACAAAGACAATTCTAACAACAATCTAAAACCAGCAGCACACTTACATATCATCAAAACCTGGATTTTCAAGCTCATGAGATATGAGACGTGAGCGTGAAAATAAATCAGATGCACCGTTCTGTAAGTGTCCCTGTGGAGTATTACATAAACAGCATTGGATCCCAGGTACGGCCTAGGAGAGACCACCACATTTGTGGATTCACTACTGATGAACAAGTCAACCTCAAGGAAATCACTTGGCTTCTCTGAACCTCAGTTTCCCGATCTGAAGAAGTGTGAGTGTGAGAGTGTGTGTGTGTGTGTGTGTGTGTCAGGGTGAGGCTATCAGATTGTTCTGCAGTGTATGATTCTAATGGAGAAGTACTGCAAACCTTTGCATAACTATATGGAAAAAGACCTCATGGGTAATTCGGCATATAGGAATCACGATCTGAAGAAGTGTGAGTGTGAGAGAGAGAGAGAGAGAGTGTGTGTGTGTGTGTGTGTGTGTGAGGGTGAGGCTATCAGATTGTTCTGCAGTGTATGATTCTAATGGAGAAGTACTGCAAACCTTTGCATAGCTATATGGAAAAAGACCTCACTGGTAATTCAGCATGTAGGAATCACACTCAAGCTGCTCTTCTGTTATCTCTGCAGGAACTCAACAAATGCACCTCATCGAGGACACACCCCAGAGCTGAATTACTAGAGGCCGAAAGAAAGATCCATCAGTGGTGCCCGACTAATGCCAAACCCAAAGAATAGAGTTCATGTTGTTAGAGTAATAAAATGAACATATTTAAGATTTCAGCCCTAACTTTTTTTTAATAGCATATGCATATAAAGTTCCCAACAATTCTGTCCTACCTCTGAAGATCTGTAACCATGTCATGACATGAACACTAACATTCTGAAATATCTCATGGTCCCAACTTTCAAGCAAGTGGAGAGATTTTGGAGGTTCAGACTTCACAATATAATGGAAGTTAGGAGCATGAGAGGTGGTATACGATATTATGGCCATCGAAATTATTAGACTCTTCTTACCCAGTTCTGTAAATCCACAGTTGCTAGTACACAAAAAGAATTCTATGAGTCCCAGAGAGACAACATATTACCATAATTTATCTCATATGGTGTGTTAGTGCCAGGAAAAGGTAGGCCCTGACTTTTATTTTTCTATTTCTGTATTTGTCAAAAGATTATCTCTGTCTGTCCTCTTTTCACTGTTTCCTTTGAATCAAGCAGAGCCAACAGGAAAAGTAGGCCAAGTATATTTAATATTTTACACCAAACAAGTTATTTGCTTAAGATGGCTTGGCCAGCCTTGTGTCTGGCACTAAAACCCAGCCCGACAGTTCCAGTAGGAATTAAACACCAGTTTTAATGGGTGCTGTGTTCCAATGTCTACTAATGCATTGAGGGTTATTGGCCAACTTCTTCACATAAAGACAAGGATGAGTGTATGTGTGTGAATATGTGTGTGTGCCCACGTGTACGTACGGAGGGATTACAGGGGGGAGCTGGCCACAGCTGCTTAATTTTTGTCAAGCTTTTTTTTTTTCTTAACAGGGAGGAGGGTTGCAGTTACTTACCATCCTCGTAAGCCGCCACCGCCAGCGAGCTGTTTATCCTCACAAAGGAGACATATGGCTGCATTCCAGGCTCATCCTCCTCAAACTCTGATTCCAGGAAGGGGGCTGTGTAGTCCCAGGTGCGGGTGTCCCACACCCTCACGTCCCCTGACGTGTATCTGGAAAAGAAGGACACACTTGGTTCCAAATGGGGAGTGAAGAGCAGGGCCACAGTGGAGAGCCTGCGGGAGCCTTAAAACGCCCGTGGAGGAAGACTCGGCAGGTGGGGACCCACTCCTGCGACACCGTTTACATGGGTCACCCCCACAGGAGAAAATGGCAACTCGGTAACAGAAAGGCTGAGAACATGCTCCCTGTTCTCATGGCACGATGGTGATAACTTCAAAGGAGAATACTGTAATTAAAACACTGCAGAGCAAGATCTCTTGTCTTCCTTTTTGACTATTATACTCCTTCTGCTACCTTAAGTTCTCCCAGTAAAGGGATCACTAACAGAAATGTGCAGAAGCCACACTATTTACACACATACGCACACAGGCAAAAGACAGGGAACCGCTAAGGGCTAATGGTCTTACAGGCACAAGCTTTCTAATACCTCATCCATGCATCAGATTTGACTGATTAAAGTCCCTAAAGACTAATTGATTTGCTGAAACAATTAAATCTTGCCTTCAGCAGCCAGACAGTGCTGCCTTCTCATGAAAAGCTCTTGCCGAAATGCATGATGCTCCCTGGTTTCACCCACTTAGAGCGTGGGAGCACTCTCTCTCTCCTATCACTCCTGCCACTCCAACAAATGACTCTCTCCATCACGGCCGAAGCAGGGCCAGAACCTGGGCAGACACCAGGCCCCGGGGACAATGGAGCGGCCAGATGACGAGGCAGCGCGCTGCCTGCCACCGGAGCCTTTATGCGGAGCTCCTCAGAGCTGGGGCAGAGGGTCTGCTTCAACACTGAAGCACCTATGCCGAGGCGTGTTAGATGCGGGGTCAGAGCCTCAGGATGAGCCCACACAAACACAAAGACATGCAGACAACGGGAAAGGTGTTCGGTCTTCCTGAGGCCAAGCCACAGTTCCTTCAGGGTTTCTTTCACTTCACGTTACAAGTGTAGAACCGAAAAAGATAACACCGAGACTTACTTAACTACTGAAGTCTATGACATGATACATCTATGAAGTAGCTGTACATCAGTTTCTCACGTGAGGTTTCTTAATAAACCAAAGTTACTCTGATTCGGGAATGCTTCACTTACTAAATGCAGCAGTGTTTTCCTCACATTATTAGTTGACAACCAATATACACACCATGAATTCAGAGGTCATCCTGTCACACACCTTCTCTAGGCTGGACCACTCAGCTCTCTCCCTGCAGATGGCACCCAGGGAGTGGGCGTGTGAAGACGCAGGCAGGAGAGATGTGCTGTCTAAAACTGGACTGATGGGCCTCTGACCACTGATCCTCCAGCAAACAAAAACGCTCGCTCCATGACAGTCATTAAGCCTGGTGACACACAAGGAAAAGCAGGACACTGCAGCCGCCAGGGCCAAGCGTGGCCGCCGCTCCCAGGCCCTCCAGGCAGCGCTCCAGATCACGTGACCCCAACGAGGCCCCCTCAACAGAACACACAGCCCACTGCGCCCAAACTACCCAGCTCACTGACACCCTAAGGATGACTGTACCGTTCCCTGGAATAAGGCCACTTGCTTAGCAACAGACACACTCAGAGACAACGTGTATAGAATTTCTAGGCTGTGTACGCTTAGATTCTTGAGGTTAAATCATGTGAAAGGGACTGGCCAATTCAGAAAAGGCGGCCGAGAAGGATGGCGACATCATTCAGAAATAGAGAGAAGTGACAGACAGAGGGGACTCGGGAGCTTTGAGAGAAAGAACTACACAAACCAGGAAAATGTATTTCCTTTCTGTCCATCTCTGTCATTCTGCTGCTTGTGACCTGCATATGAGAGCACACCACTCATCCTCAGGCCTCTGCGGTGCCCCCTGAGGCGATAAGAGGGCAAGATATGGGGGGCTTGAAACCCACCATTTGCAAGTTCCCTTTACACAAGGAGTTCCAAGGTAAAGCAACGGCAACCAAATCCAAACCTGAAACCTGCTGCACCCCACAACCGTGAGCCATGAAATACAGTCTGCCTCTCTCTTTTGGGGGAAGAGGAGAGACGGCGGGCAGAGGCTGCAGAAAGAGGAGCATCCATTAATATGGGAAAGGCTCCTGACTGCCTTTTCTTCCAAGAAGTTGTCCCCTTCATGCTGCAACTCACTCACCTAAAATTAAACACGTGCTCTCCTCAAAAAACCTTGGCCCACGACCAAACTGGCTTGTTCCAAGTTCTTCATTTTGTCAGAGACAGAACTTGTCCCAGGTCACCAGCGCAAAACTGGGGGGGCTCCTCAACGCCCTTGTGCCACCACGCACACATCACCACACTACTTACTACACGTGCAGTCCACACCCTTCCTGCTCTCCTCGCTCCCGGGCTGCCTCTGGGCCTGGCCCACCCCTCACCCCCCAGCCGCCCCACGACAGCCTCCCCACTCCCGAGCCTCACCCCCCTTCGGCCACCCTGCACTAGCCAAGCCCTCAAAAATACCTGACTACGTGGCTCTCTCTCCCTTTCTCCTCCACCCTCCACACCAGACCATGGGTGCTACCATCTTCCCGGACAGCAGCGTGGACTCTCCTCTGGTGGCAGCTGTGTGTGCAGGCATCTGACTGTTCATCTCCCCTATGAACCCATGAGCTTCTAAGCGGGGGTCCTGCTCCCCGCTGTTGATCCAGTGATCAGAAGAGTTGAACTAAAATAGCGCTTGACACTAGGGAGCTCTTTGTAAATCCTGAGGCCTTAGCACCACACTGAATGAAGCTTTAACTGTCAGCCAGGCCCTGAGAACCCTCCACTACCTTGCCTCACTCCTCTCCCAGCCTCGTTTTCTCCTCTTCCTTAGCAGGAACCGGTCTGTGGCCAGGATGGTCGGTCACTGCCTTCCACAGCACGGTGCCTCTGCACCTCGGCTCCCGATTACCCACCTTTCTGGAGCCCCTTCCCTCCTCATGACCCAGCCAGGTGGGCCAACCTTGGCTACATATCAGAATCCCCTGGGATGCATTTAAACTCCCAATACCAAGGGTGCACCAGATCAGTGACATTTCATCCTCTGAGGGGGGGCCCAACGAGCTAGCCAGATGGAGAACCACCCACCTCCCTCAAGCCTGTGCTGTGCTGTGCTTAGTCGCTGTCAGGTCCGACTCTGCGACCCCGTGGCTGCAGCCCGCCAGACTCCTCTGTCCATGGGATTGTCCAGGCAAGAATACTGGTGTGGGTTGCCATTTCCTCCTCCAGGGGATCTTCCCAAACCAGGGACTGAACCCAGGTCTTCTGCATTGCAAGAGGATTCTTTATCAGCTGACCTACCAGGGAAGCCCTCGCTCAAGCCTAATAACGTATAAAGGTCTAGCCCAGGCCCCCCTCCTCCATGACACCTCTCTGCCTCCACTACTGTGCCCCTGAATCTGAAGAAACTGTGTTCACTGCTACGTCCCATGTCTCCTCAACTTGACCGTGAAGGCCCTACCACAGCGCCACAGCCTCCATCACAGCGCCTTACACACAGCTGAGAGAAGGGGTCCCCAGGGAACAGCCCAACTGGTCTGAGAGGCACCGCCTTCTCTCCGCTGTCCCACTTCCAGTGCTAATGGTCAGTGAGACACCCAGAACACACACATCAAGATGCATTAGACTTCTTCCAGACTGATTAAAACCTCTCTACAAAACATAGAATAAGTTACGTTATTTTGGTAAACATAAAACTTTCTGTAGATACCCATTCTAAGTCAACTCCATTCTTCACAGCCAAAGAGCATGATAACAGCATAAATGTTTTGCTGCAAAAAGACTCACGAGGCAAATACAAAAGACTTGGTGCTCCTTTGTGATGGGAACGGAGAATAAATACCCTGCTTCAGCAGCTACTACGTGATGACTCAGCAACAGGCTCTAGACTGCACCACATGAAAGCAACCACAGCAGCGGCGCTCGGACACCATGTTCATGAACTCGTGCTATAGAAGCGGACGTTTTCCTGAGGATGAAACACTGGCTGGGGCAGAGGGACCTGGACCAGGCTCTCGCTGCAGTTTCAAAGTGCTCCCCAACACTGGCCAGGAGAAGCAAGGACAGAGACGGAAGGGGCAAGGGTTGATTTTTCTCCAAAGCTCCAGATGTCTTTATGGCTGCCTAATGACAATTACACTCAACCAATTAAGACACCACTATGACAGTTGCATTGTTAGGGAGCCTCTGGACCCCAGTGTTGATGGTTCTCTAATTAGTGCCTGTGCGAAGTACAACGGCAACTAATGTATTAGCTGATGTAAGAACACTAACGAAACACTAAGGAAGAAAGAAGCCTTTTCCAAACAAGGAAGGCTGCCCCAGCCCACGGCACGCATCAGTGAAGCTGTATGCTTTTCCCAGTCTTTCTCCTGCTTGGCAAGGTTGAGTTTACCTCCAAATAAACAGGTCAGAGACCACAGCTGATTTTTTTGTTGAAAGAATGGGAAGAGAGCCTCTTTCAAGCTTGGCACGCCAGAGCAATTGCCAATTTCAAATGATTTACCACCGAAGAGCTTTCATTAACTAGTACATTTCCAATAAGCGGACTACTTATTTGGACCAAGAGACCTGAAGAAAAATGGAGAAATGTTGTACAGCTAAAAACCACCTTTAACCTTTTTTCCTGTCTTAAGTAGCCAAGCGGGAGAGGGGATGGTTCCATTTTGCTTCCAGGTGCCAGTGCTAATTTGCTGAAAACAATTTTTTCAAGGTTCTTCATCACAACCAGGGGCATTGTTTTCATTTAAGAATCTGGGCGTAAGGTTAAGTGACCCAGGCAAGGTCACAAGAAACATTTTAGTGGCACAGCTGGGATCAGTCTGGGTCCCCAGGCTTTTCTCTGACCACTGCTTTAGCCAACAAGTCACTGCCTTCTCCAATGACAGTGTCTCGGAAACAAATATGGCTTTTAAGAACCATTCCCATTTGAGTGCAATATAAGGAATTTATCCTTTTCAATACTCTTGACTCAGGCTTGCAGGACACTGCCCCTGACCCTAACTCATCAGTTCTACCACTACA